TGGGGGTGGGAATAGGAAAGAGAGTGGTGACAGGCTCCTTAGGGATTTTGCAAAGGGATGGATGTAATGCAAAGCAGTGGCCTGAGCCCTGTGGCCTAAGTGGTAATGTAAAGGAGAATAGCCAGGCAGGCCCCCTTGGGCAAGTGGCCAGCTGGGCAAGAAGACTGTATGGTGACAGTTCTTACTTGAAAGTCATAGTTCCCTGGTTTGGGTCTGAGGCACCCAGCACGGGGCAGGGTGGGGTGACACTTTGCCTATTCCTACCAGGCAAGGGTAGGTGTTGGGTGGGTAGTAGCTGTGGAGCTGTCTACGAGAAGTCATGCACTGCTGAGCCTCAGGCGGAGCCAGGCAAGGGATGTGAAGTCAATAATACATCGCTAATACATCGCTGGAAAAGGCATCGCCAGCTGCAAAGTCTTTACTTCCGCACACTGGGGCCCTCGTGTCTGCAACACCTGCTCTGGTTTGGAGGGGAAGAGGGCATGACATTATGTGGGGTGCAGGTTGTACAACAGCCTAGGGTGTGCCGAGGATTTCTGAGGACTTCCACTTCTTGGTGGGTGCCAGCTTTCCCCATCAATTTCAAGGACACTTGCGAAGACCACTTACAATTAAGAATCTGTCTCAAACTGCCAGTGTTCAATTCACTCTGCATTGCAGAAATTTTGGGCTGAAAGTTCCACTTTCAGTGAAAATAGTAGTTTTTAACCCTTTGTAGGTCGGAGACCTTTGAGGATCTTATGAAAGCTTTAGCCCTCTGGAAAACACGCATAAGAACATTCACTAAGTTCCTACAGTGTTAGGGATTTCATAGGCCCTCGGAATTCCAACAATGGACGCCCCTGGGGTGATGGACCCCAAGTTAAGAACCCCTGAGTTGAAGGTTCCTATGGGTAAGCATTCTTTTGAGCTGCAAATAACCCAGAGGAATCATGTGATTATTGATTGAATGGGTGTGGGGCAATAGGAATAACGATTGTGGAGGAAGGGGAGGTGAGCCTGGCGGTCCACCCCAGGGAAAAGGTAGGGAATGGTCTGGAGATTCAGCAGGCAGCACCGGATCAGGGCGATAGATCAGAAAGGGACACAGGTGTCCCAAAGACAACCTTCACTTCCACCCTTTCCCTAAGGCTGTCCTTGTGTCCTGATCAGAACTTTTTTATTCAAGTAGGTATGTGCAGTCATCCTGCCACCTGATGGTTATGCTTGGAATTGCATCTGCCCTCACACCTAGGTGAGAGAGATCTAACATGCTCTTGGAATCAAGTACACATAGCCGACCTGCTGGGGTGCAGCAAGGGGTGGGGGCGGGGGGAGTGCATGGAAAAGAGGAGTGGCTCTTCAATGTTCTGTGTAACGCACACTGAAGCCCCATGAAAGCTTACATCCTTCTTCGGTGACCTGGGCACTCTTTGGTTTGTCATGGCTAAACTCACTTCAACAGCTTAGAATTTTTCCATATACATAAATATATACGAAAAAATATATATATATTTTGCTCTGATTTGAGCTTAAAACCTGAAGCTCCATCTCTGGCTCCCAACTGGTCTCTCTGCTCCCCGTTCCTCCTCTTCCAGAGCAGATTTATTGATGGATCGATGACTGCGGGTCGGGAGCCAAAGCAGATGTGTCCCTGGGAAAATCAGTGACTTGAGGTTCCATCTCACGTTCTTTCTGTTCCAGCTGAGACACGCTTCCCAGGCCGCTGAAACCCTTATCTAACAGGAAACCGGTCACCAACAGTTTTCTGCAAAGTAACTTCACATGCCAACGTGGCTGAGTCCCGTTGCCCTAAAGTTCTGGAGGAATTCTTGGTGCATCTTCTGAACAAACCTTCATACTTGCTGCCCCAGCCTCCTCTGTGCCTGTCTGTCGGTGGCACCTTCTGAGCTAAGCTACGCATGAGATATGGCATCAGGGGATCTCAAAAACAAAAAGGGTATCAGGGGTCCCAGAGTGGCATTGTCAGCTTGGGGTCATGTCTTCTCCAGTCCCAGACTGTGCTGTGGACAAGACCGTTTCTAGCATGTTCCACTGGAGGCACCTCCTTCCATTTTGGCCACCACAAGGCTCTGAGTCCAACTGGAGGCAACGAGGGAAAGTTTGCCAAACTGACAGGGGTGAGGAGGTGGTAAGGGAAGCTGAACGCTCTGTCACCTGTGGGAGGCCTTGGGGAGAAGCAGATGAGGGGAGGGTGGGTTCTCCCCCAAAGCTCTGGAATGTCAGGCACCCAGTGTAAGACATCTGCCCCATCATGTGATCAGAGGTGTTAGGTTTGAGTTCTCCTCAGAGGCTCTTTCTCCGTCAGGTGACTTCTTCCTTTTTCGACCACCTGAAAAACAGTTTGTAAGGATCAATCTGCAGGACTGGGAGGACATTCATACTCTCTTGGTGGTCCAAGTTCTCTTCAATACAGAAGCAGGAAGAGAGAGAGTTCGGCAGGAAGTGATCTGCATTGTATCCTGCTGCTGCCACCAGCATGTTTACATCTTGAAGGACTAGGATGCACCTTCCACCTGAGACGACAGCTCTAAAAGGGCACAAACCCAGGCTAGTGCCAATGGAATGGAGATTTCCTGGAGAGAACTGAGTAAGGCCCACGTAATGCTGCAGGATCATGCCTGTCCCAGCCTCTGAAGGCCCCAGCCCAACTGACTGCCTGTCCTCTGAGAAAGGATTGGTCTCACACCTCCGATATCCCAGGAGCCACAGGGGGTGGGTGTAGCTGGGCACCATTCCCAGGGGTACTTCTCTAGCTCTGAAGCACCCTCCTGCCCTGGGCAGGCAGGGTAATCATATGATTGTCCTCAAGGATGAAGGGCAATCACTTCTCAGCTCTGCTTTTAGGAAGAGCTGAGATTTTTCACCTTTTCTCTGCCATTAACTTCTTTTCATGAAGGATATTGCTTTCCTTTCTAGTGAGTTTCCTGGACATAAATTCTGGCTTTAAAAGGACCAGATAGTAAATATAGGTTTTTGCAGGCCAATGGTCCCTCTTGCAGTTATGAACTCTGCCATTGTGGTCATAAGGAACAAATGGGTCTATGTTCCAACATATCTTTCTTTACAAGAACAGGCAGAGGGGTGGTCAGGATTGGCCCACGGCCACAGTTTGCAGACTTCTGTCCTAGATAACCAGCAATTGAATTGGACAGATCCCCAAATTATCAAGGGTGCAATACCAGCCTAAGCCCTAAGATGGATTCCCACAATTGTACCTCATTAGGGTTCCCAAAAGGAGTCAATGGTTCCTCCTCCACGAGGAAGATCCTAACATGCTTTTTCAAACCAGCTGGAGGGTGGCTTTCATCTCAGAGAAGAGATACTCACTCAAGGTTCTCAGCAGCCTCTTGCCCATGGTTTCCTCAGTGTCACTACTGCAGGGGCTGGTCTCTGTATCCAGGTTAATATTACAATATTCGCTCTCTGCTGCTGAAAGAGTAGAAGAACACAAGTGTTTCCAACCTATACACCCAGGGATCTAGGTGGGATGATTCTGGTTGACATTTCTTAGCAGGTAAAAGTTCAGAGCCAGAGCTAAGGCAGCAGTGGCCCTAACAAGGGAGGGATGCCCAGGAAGCCTTTAGCAAGGGGCACTTTAGTGCCACAAAAGGAACAAAGAGGCAGAGAACTAGGGTGGGAATTAACTATTCAAACCCTGTTTGGCAGGAAAGAGAAGAGAACAAGATGTTCTCCACTCAGCATTTTTGCCAAAAAGCACATCTGTGGACAGATGGGGAAGTCTCCTTCCTCTCTTTGAACAGACCCTGGAAAATCACAGGGCTCCATAACAATTAAGCACATGCCAGGTCTTCTCCCACTGAACCCAGTGAGAATTCAGAAAGCCTTAGGATCTCGGAGCCAGGAAGGGGCCCAAGCTCTTACTGCCAGTGCAGGAAGGACCTAACCCGGGAGGCAAAACAATGTGGTGGAAACTGCCCTGGACCCTGAGCCATGAGGCTGAGCTCCCTTCTCATGCAGGATATGGACGGGGCAAGTCATTTCCCTCCTCCAGGTCTCAGTCCTCATGTGTCATAAAGGAGGGTGGATTAGATAATCTCCAAATACTATCCAGTCTCCTCCATTCTTATCCCTTTGATACAGTTTCTTGCTACATGTTTTAGCTACTAAATTCAGTGTGGGTGGGGGAAAAAGAACATCAGTTCTAAATTCAGGTCCTGGAACAGTGATTATGTATGTCCCAGATTTTCTGCGTTAGCTACAAGTTCAAACATGTTGTCTCACTGACTTTGAAAATCGATGAGCACTTGTCAGGTCATTGTTCTGAAATGGAGGGGTCTCAGACTATGGTCTGGGGCAGGTCGAAAAGGTCGGGTGGGATAACTGCTAACCTGGGGAGGGGTGTAGGGGGCTGCCGAAAGCATGGGAAAGTATATTCTAGGCAAGAACGGAAGGACCTCAGGACTGCTGGGACGCTGGGAGCTCGGAGCGACACCACTCTCAAGACAAGAGGTGTCCAATGTCTCGGAGGGAAGTGATAGGGTCTCAGGCTTCAGGACAAGTACTACAGATTACTTCTGGTTTCTGAGCCTCAAAGGAAGGGAAGAGCCCTGCCAATGAGAGTGATGGCTGACTTCAATGTTCTAATCCGTCAAGTAGGTCTAACAATCACTATGTAATATTTAGAGAGCATGGTACCAAGCACTGGAATGTGTCCTCTGTATATATTACCTCATTGATGCTCAAAGCTACTTCATAAGCTAGTTACCATGATTTATATCTATGATTTATATTCATAAGGAAACTGAATCTGAAGTTAAAGTAACTTGCCCCAAATTGCATAGCTCCTCAGTAAAGGAGCCAGGCTCTGAACCCGGGTGGAAGCCTAGTTCCTACAACATATCTTCCCAGGAGAATGAATTAGGACGGTAGCTGCTCAGTAGATGTTAGTTTCCTTCCCTGGCGGTGTAAGGAGGTGGGACATTTTACGCAGGAGTTGGGGTCCGAGGTTCCCCCCACCCAGTACCCGATGGTGATGACCCCCCGGCTCCTTGGGCCCAGGTTCCCTCCTGGACCTGCTCTTGCAGGAACAGCTGTAGGAGACAGTGAGAGCTGCTGTGTGCTGTGCTCCTCGACGTCTGTCACATCCTCCTGGGTGAAGGCCATCTCCTCCATCCTCAAGTACACGACCTCGCTGGGGCTTCTCAGCCCATCTGAGTGGCTGCCTGGGGAGGACAGCGAGTGTGTCACCTCTCTGCTTTGGAGAAGACCTGGGGCTCATGAGGACAAGATGGCAGCTCTGGACGGCCATGAGGAGAAAGGCAGGGCTGCCCTCACCCCAAGGCAGCCCAGCCCATCAGCCCGACCGACTTACACGGCATGCTGTTCCTGTTGTTCAGGAGAGTGACGGCAGGGTCATCCTTGGGGGTCTGGGGCGTGCCCCTGGTCGTGGGGGCCTTGGTGGAGTCTCCGTCGGTGAAGGCCTCCATGTCGGGCGACTGGGGTGAGTGGTCCATGTGGCAGGCGGTGAGCGCATTCTGGTACTGCTGCCGGGTGATCTGGGAGGAAGGGGCAGAGGGGCGGGCGCTCAGGAGGGGGCGGGCGGAGTCCTTCCTAGACGGGGCCTGCCTTCCCAAGCTCAGAAGCAGCCCCGCCAGGGTGCTTTGGAACCCAGGCTTCTGTGGCCTGGAGCCCATGCACTGGGGGCCTTACCAATGCTGTACCAGGCCAGGGGTTGAAGACAATTAGGGGAACCATTGCAGATTGCCATCAGAGTTCCCACTGTCATTTTTATTGGCTCTGGACTTTTTATTTTATTTTAAGATTTTCATTGATTTTTAGAGAAAGAGGAAGGGAGAGGGAGAGAGAGAGAGACATCAACGTGAGAGTGAAACATAGATCGGCTGCCTCCTGCACGCCCCCAACTGGGGATTAAGCAAGCAACCTGGGCATGTGCCCTGACCGGGAATTGAACTGGCAACTTTTTGGTGCACAGGGCGATGCCCAACCAACTGAGTGCTGGCTCTGGACTCTTACAGTGCACCTGGAGGAGCCAAGTCTTCCCCTGAGGCCCTGGAGAAGATAGAGGGCATCTCCAGTTAGCAGGGTGGTTGCCCACTGAGAAGTTTGAAACACAGGCTTACACTATTGCCAAGGGCCCTCTTCCTAAGGCTCAGTGAGTGGGGAGTCGGCAAGAATGAGACCCTCAGCTTATGTAGAGGACTGAAATAAGAAACCTCCATATGAAGAACATAAACTCTGGCAAAACCATGGATGAAGCCAATATATATATATTTGATGCCTTCCATAGTTATATATAAATACACTTGATAAATCCTTCAAGAAGTTACTACCAGAAAGAAGCTCCTTTCTCTAGGTGAATGATATACTTCCTTAAATTGGATGACACCTCAAAGATCCAGTTTCCCCTTTTTGCTTTTACGACCAGGAAGCTCACAGATAAATTTACTTTCAGTATCAAACTCATTCTTGATAGCTCTTTTACCAAGTTGGTTTATAATCTCTCTTAAATTTTTAAATGAAAACATAATTTAATTATATGTTTATTTTGGGAAATCATATATATTACAGGAAGTACTATAAATATCCTAAAGAGATGGAATTAGAGATTAGGTTTTCAGACACTGGTGAAAGCTCTAGTGCTAGTATTTCCCAGAAGGGCTTGTTTTTGCAGGTGGAGGTTGGACTTGAGGACGGAACCTTCCATCTATATAGAGCATTATGGCTTACAGAGCACTTAGGTATATGTTATCGCCTTTGCTGGTCATAAGGACTGTATGGGGTGGGCAAGAGAGGCCTTGTACTGCCCATATTATAAGTAAATAATTGAGGTCCAGAAAGGTTGAGGAACTTGCCTAAGGTTTGAGAGTTAGCAGGCCTTCAGAGTCCCCACCAGTGCACTATATCGTACGGTGTGGATTTTGCCTGGGCGACTCTTTGGAGCCAGGGAGATGGAAGGTGGACTGAGTATATGGAACTCCAAGTTGCCCGAGTCTAATGATGGCACCCCTTGCAATATGGATGTTTTAGTTTAAAGAGCCTTAACTCTTGCTCTGTACACTGCAAATGTACCTGGCTGCATTAGGCTGCTCTTCATATGCCCACTGAGGTTGTCTTTCACAATCCTTTAGGGGAGATGCCCCAATAACTACTTTGTAGTTTTCAGTTATATAAGAATCTAGATGACTAACAAGAAGCTGGCACAAGGCTGAACCAAGGTCATCATCAAAGCCCAATTTTCTGATGTGCCCATGGGTTTTCTGAAGGTGAAGCTTTCTTTGGCATCTTTACCTGGCTTAAAGGACAGGAAAATTTCCCAAGTTACACTTGGTAAGCTCAACAAAGCACCTGATATTACTTTTGGACATTTTGACTTAGCCAACGTGCTCAAAAGTTCACTTTTAATCAGTGTGATGCCCCCTATCATTTTATAACTTTTACCCCTCAGAACATGGTCCTGCAATTTAGGGATTCTGCCACCAGATGGTGATGAGGTACCTTGATTGCAGTTACACAGACCAGATTATGACATCTACCAAATATTCTTAGTTTAATCATGATATTTACAGAGCACATTTCAAAAAAAGGATTCTTTCGGCATAAGGACTCTTTGGTACCTTCATAGCTTATTAACTACTACTAAGCACAATTTCAATATCTTTCCCAGATGATCACTAAGTACACTTTTCTATCTAATTTTGTAATGTATTGTAAAGTCAATTTCCTCCTGGACTTAATAACCAGTTCTAGAGCTTCATTCTACTTGGACATGGAAAGCCTTCACAAACTTCCCCTGCAGGCAGTCACAAGGGCTTCAGCCAGTGGAAACACCCCTTTGTACAGATTTCTCTTTAGCTTCCTCAAACACTGTCTTCATGTTAAAAAAAGGAAGGGGGGGTCAGTGAGAGAGGCCAGCAAAAGAGCAGCCTCCATCATGGCCCTAACAAGTCCATTAAACCAGGAGGAGGGAATTTTTAACTTTAGTCTAAGGTATCATCTTAACTTACATTAAAAAACAAAACAAGAGAGAAACCAACGTCAAAATAAAACAAACACTATGTTAAAACAAGGGCTTGAGTTGTCAAATTCCCTTCTATGGAACTACCCATTCCAATCAGAGTTTTTCATTTGCTAACCAGGAGGGGGGCTCTCACCAGACACTGGATCTGCTGGCCCCTGGAACTTGGACTTCTAGCCTCCAGAACTGTGAGAAATAAGTGTTTGTTATCTAAGCCACCCAGTCGATGGTAATTTGTTATAGCCGCCTGAATGGACTAAGACAAATGGACAGACCTGATAAACAAACCTACAAAAACTCCCAGTTCAAATAGAATCCAAATGCCTTACTCTGGCCTAAAGATGCCAGGTGACATTGCTGCTGACGCTCCAGTCTCATCTCACATCAGCCTCTGTCTTTGTGCTCAGATCCTCGAACGACCAAGAACTTTCCTGCCTGTTGTTTCTGTCTGAAACATTCTCCCCACCTTCCCCTTCAGGTCTCAGCAAGAACGTCCCTTTCTCAGCCTGCTCTGATAACTTTTTCTAAAGCAGCCTCAGGTTATCCCACCACCCCGTGCATGTCCTTCATAGTTGTCATCACTACCTGAAATTACCTAGGTTTTATGTCTGCGGTTACTTGTCTGTCATCTTTCTCACCTATTAGCATGGAAGGCACGGCAAGGCAGGAGCTTGCTGTCTTGTTTGCTCCAGTAACTCACCAATGACTGGGCAGTGCCAAGCACAGAGCCGGCATTCAGTAAACACTTGAACCACTTACTCATATTGTGACTTTCCATTTCTTTCCCCACAAACTATGTAGCCAATACTACAAACCAAAAAGAGTGAGCCCAGTAGAATTTCTCTTCTCCCGTTATTTCCTGCCTCCACTTCTGAGCAAGGTCTGCAACGAGAGGGCTTCAGGCTGGAAACAACAGGGAGAAGAGTCCTGGGCCCTGGCTTTCTGAGGCTTAACCTCGTGGTACATTACCTTGGATCACAGGGGAATGGAATGCAGGGTCCCCCCGGGGGCAGTTACCTTCACAAACTGCACGTCGCTGAGGATGTGGACTGAGTAGTCAGGCGTGTAGAGGTTGTTGTTGCTACTGCACAGCTGGGTGTTGCTCCCCCCAAAGTCACTGCGCTCGCGGTTGGGAGACTCGGAGCGGTTCAACCCGCTGCAGCGAGAAGGGGAGCGGTTTACTGCAGATGGTGAGGGAGAGGGGAGGGAGAAAAGGCAAGGCAAGGAGGGTTGGGTGTGGAGAAAGGAGAGGAGGCCAGAAAGAGGGAGGGGGAGAGAGGCGTTGTTTATTGAGGTCTGCAGGACTTCAAGGCAATGGTTACTCTGGGTGGTGAAACCAGGCCCTCCCCCGTCCCATCATAGCCCAAGACAATGCCCAGCTGCCCCATTGATGTTTATTCCTTAGAGGAGCAAACGCCTAAGACAGGATCCACTCAGGCTCCTCCTGTGTCCCAAAGACCTCAGCCAGGGAGGAGCTGGGCAGAGGGTGTGACTGCCTTATCTGGTTCTGTGGATAAAAAAGGGGCTCTGTACTAAATCTGACTAAAAGTAGCCTCACAGGGTGATCTGCTCATAAATTCTAACTAGGCAGTCATGCTCCAGGCCTACAAAAGAGTTTAAGCAAGCCCTGTCCATTGTTCTTGTGCATCTAGGTTAACACCTTTGAAATGAGAGAGTAACCCCCCTTTTCAGACCCCTCAGAGGTGTAACCACCCTCAAGGGAGCACATAATCTTTCTCCCACCTTCAGGTAACAAACTTATATCCCCTGCTTAATTCCAAATGCATACAAGAAACTGCAAAACTGTTGTTCTCTGGGGCATTGTGAGATCTCGCTCCCTGGTGTGTTGTCAGTTTGGCTCAAATAAACTCTTATAAAAATTTTCTACAGGTTTGGACATTCTTAACTGAGAGTGCAGATAAGGTCCAACTGTGAACATGGTTCTCTAGACCATGAGACCTTCTACCAGGGTGACTTGTTTTATATAAACTCCATTCAAAAATCTTATTTTAGGAAGGCTAAGATTTGCCCTCAAAACCATCTGTCACAGGACAGATAACCAAGCCTCAATGCACTGATGCATTGCAGTGGACATAGCTCAGTTCACCCCCAACACTGGCTGTGCCCAGGGCAAGTGGAGGCCCACAGACTGTACGGATACATATTTAAATCACACAAATGAACGGTTACAACAGATTCTAGCCTTGTCCTTGACAACCTGGAAGGCCAGGTCCAACTCCTTAGAGTTTTGTGCCAGAAAATAGAGCTGTATGGGGAGGACCAATCCCCAGCGTCCTTTGTGAATGGGGAATTCTGGGATCTCAGTATCTGAAATGTGGTCTAGACGGAAGAACACAGGCTCTGGGCAGGCACATCCCTTTGGCCCTGCAAACTCCTCACCCCACAGAGAGGGTCAGGACTTAGGAGGGCCAAAGTGGTGCCCTCTAAAGTGTGGGGCTAGGGCAGAGCACCCTCCAGGCCTAATGGGGGAGGGGAAGGAATAAGGCCTCTGAAGTGTTTAGAGTTAGTTTTTCATCTATTTTCAAGAACCAGTTCTTGGGAAAGTTCAATTAAGATCCTGATACTTGGTTTCAAAATGAATTATGTGAGTTACCCTCCCCAGGATTAATAGAAGAGAGGTTCTGAAGGTGCCTCTAGCTTTATCTCAATCCAGGAATAAGCTCCTCCTGCCCTTCTGCTTCCCAATTGATGCTACTCTGCATTTCTTCTCAAAAAGGAGAAACAGGAGGCTGTGAGCTCCTCATAACCCAGATTTAGTGCAGGGGCTCAAGGGAAGAGTCCAATTATTCGGAGATTCTGCTCCTTGTTCTTTCAGGGGAGAGCCTCAGGAATTTAATTCTGTCTCTTGAGATAATGTTGCCATCAATCAAAATATCTGATTAGCATCTATATGGAGAGAGTCCTGGAGCATCGATGATCTGTTCAGCTGCCAAACTATTATTATTGTCTGGCAAACTGTGTTTCAGAAAGATTAAAATAACAGTAAGCTGAACCTTTTTCTCATTGGAACTGTAATAATCACGGCCTTGATGGGGTTATAGAATTAAAAGATTCCACTTGTCTTCCCCTTCTTGGTAAATGTCATTCATATATACTGTTATTTAAACCAGAAACCTGGGAGTCACCCTGACTCCTGCCACTCCATCAGCTCCACATCAAGTCCTCTTATCTCCACTTCAGACGTAATAGGCCCATCTGCCTCTATCTCTGTCTTTACTCAAGTCGGAGTTATCATCACTCACCTGGCCCACAGTCTGGTCTCCCTACTTATAGTCTTATTTATAATCAGTTCTCACCTCAGCTGCCAGAAGCACATTTTAAAGACAAATCAGTTTCCTATTGAATCTGAATAAAATCCACACTCTTTCCTGTGACCCTTATGCCCCACCATGACCTGACCTCTGCTCTCCTGTCAGATCTCATCTTGGGATTCCCTCCCTTGCTTGCTCTGCTGGTGGCCTTGGGGATCCTCAATCATGCAAGCATTTCTCACCTCAGTAGATACCATTTCCCCTGCTCCCCTTTCTCCTCTTATCCCACCCTCTACCCCCCTCGG